CAATGTGAGCGTTGGGGGGGGTATTTGGGGGGGGGGGGGGAAGGTTGTCTGTTTTAGTTTGTTTGGTTTGGGTTTTTTGGTGGTCTTTCATGTGTTTGTTGGATTTTTGTGGGTTTTTTTGTTTTGTTTTTGTTTTTTGTGTAGGGGGTATTTTCAATAAGTTTTTTTAAAAAATCATTAATTTAAAATATATGTATTCTTGCCCTAATGAGAGTAAATGTATTTAACTTGCATTTTTTCAGCAGTGATCACCATATATGATGTCTGCTGAGTTGTCATTCCTGCAGCCAGTTCTTCAGCATTCTTCATGAATTTCTGGAAGGACAGATATACACACCTGCACTTTTCAGCCTTCTAAGGACCCGCCTTTGTTCAAATTCTTCCAATGAGGCAAGGTGAGTCTAACAAGAGTGAGAATCAAGAGGAGGAGTTAAAAAATAAACCTCTGATTCATTAGTGGCTGATGTTTCTCCAGTTATTTTTGCAATCATCTCCCTTTCTTCTGCAGGGAGCAGTTACCAGATCTGCAAAAATTCACATCTGCTACTTGGGACGCCGCAGCCTTGAGGGCACTGGAAGGAGGCTGCTGGAATCCAGGGTGGCCCCTGTTGTCTTCAGAGGCTCCTGGGCACTGTTTGCCTGCCTGAGACGCTGCTCTACAGACCCCGCCTGGCAGAGACAGCCCTGGGGGCTGGGAAAAGACAGCACAAAGACTTGCTGAGTTTGCCAGTCAGATAGGATAAAGATTTGTTTGGAGGTTCTGCCTTTTATCCCTTTTTTTTTTTTTTTTTAATTTTCTCCGTTCTTTTTTCTTATTCCCACAGAAAACTCCCTGAATGAATTTATTGATCGTCGTGGCCTGGTTTTTAGGAGGAGGTTGGAATGGAAGGAGAGTTGTATAGTGAAGCAGGATTAAAATTTCTCCTTATTTTAGTTAAGCAGCATGATAAGAAACTTTTAACTAACATAAATTTAATATTTCAGTAGGCCATAAAAGTTCCATGTTCTCTTAAAAGTCAGAGAAAAGAATAAACAAAAGAATAATCTCAGCCTTTCTTCCTTCTTCTTCAGGTGTAACAGAGCATATGAACACTAACTAGGAAAAATAAATAAATAAATAAACTCTGTATTATTTCTAACAAGCATCACCACATCAATGCTGTGAGATCCTACCCAGTCCCTTTTAGGAATTTTACTGGAGATCACTGACACAGAGCCTGAGAACACAGAGATGTCCCTGATCCCTGCAGAGGTGTTGGACGAGATGACCTCTGAAGGTCCCTTCTGACCCAAACTATGCTGTGACTCTATAGGATTGGAGACGAAAAAATTCTTAAAGTAGAATGATCACATTAAAAAGATGGGTTGGTTTTTTTCCTGCTTTTTTTTTCTATTTTTTTTATTTATTTTTTTTTAATTTTCCTGCTGTTATTAACACTATTATGATTATGTCAGTTCTTACAACTACCAGACCGGAAGAAACCCCAAGTTATTCCAGTCCCTGTCTAAATTCCAATCAACTTAGCAGCCATAATGAGTAATTTCCTCATTCACTTTTGGGAGCACTTTCCACAGATTGGTACCAGGGAAGGCTCTCTATGGAGCTTGGGTTTGCACTATGAGGAACCACCAGTGACCCCTGCCTCTTTATTTACAATTGCAACACTTCTAAGGCTTTAGTCCTTTTAACCTTTATTGACCTCACATTTGGGCCTAGACACAAAGTTTCAGTCAGTTATAAATTGCAAATGTGTAGCAACAAGGAGTATCAGGATGGAGTAAATTATTGAATTTCTCAATTTTTATTTCTATCATCAGGTTTATAATCTTAGCACTCCTGTTGCTAAGTTGTTGCTAAATTGTTGCTTAGCACTCCTGTTGTTAGTTGTGTGAGGTACAGCTGATATGCAGTTCAAATTTCAGGAGTATACCACAGTAAAAGCAATGATAAGAGTATAATAGTTAATAAAAAGCTGTTTGAAACTTGATGTTTTTCTTCCAATGCTAACTCAGGCTATACCTTCCACTATGCTTCAAAGCAAACCTGGACTATTCCAAATAGGCTGTTCTACAGAATGTATCAAGTTGGGGGTGGGGGGAAAGAAAAGGGGCAGGGAAAAATACGTGTGGGCTGTCTGACCTAGTATATTTTCCATTTGCTGTATTGGAACACTCATCTGCTTTGTGCAATTTACTTACTTTGTACAGGTGAATGGGCATTAGGAAACACCTCACAAAACAGCATGCAACATTGTCTAAAATGGGAAAGCAGCTTAAAAACTTAAAATTGCTAGCATGCTCACATTGGAAATGCAATTACCTTTAAGAACATCAGAATTATTGACTTTTAAGAAAATATAAGGAAAGCAGTGTTTCAACTCTCTTGTGCCATGTAGTGGCTCTTAAAAGAGCCTTTAGGGTGTGCAGAAAAGTCGGGATCGCACGGAGAGCACCCGGGGCAGGGGCTCAGGCGCGCTCGCCGCGGATGCGGCGGGCCAGCTGGATGTCCTTGGGCATGATGGTGACGCGCTTGGCGTGGATGGCGCAGAGGTTGGTGTCCTCGAAGAGCCCCACCAGGTAGGCCTCGCTGGCCTCCTGCAGCGCCATGACGGCCGAGCTCTGGAAGCGCAGGTCGGTCTTGAAGTCCTGCGCGATCTCGCGCACCAGGCGCTGGAAGGGCAGCTTGCGGATCAGCAGCTCCGTGGACTTCTGGTAGCGCCGGATCTCGCGCAGCGCCACCGTGCCGGGCCGGTAGCGGTGCGGCTTCTTGACGCCGCCCGTGGCCGGCGCGCTCTTGCGGGCAGCCTTGGTGGCCAGCTGCTTGCGGGGCGCCTTGCCGCCCGTCGACTTCCGCGCCGTCTGCTGCGTGCGCGCCATGGCTCAGGGCACCCGCGCACCGCCGCTCGCGCTCAGCACAGCCAACACTGCGCCGCCGCCTCCGAAGCGCCGCTATTTATAGCCCGGTCCCCGCGCCCGCGCCACACGGGCCGGCTGCCATTGGACGCTTGTCGCGAGCCCGGGAAAAGGCCCCGCCCCCTGCTGGGCGGGAACAGCGCCCCGGCCCCGCCCCCTCGGACCGCGCCTCGGGCTCGCCCTGTGTTTTCCAAAGCCGCTCCGCTCGCGTTCGTTCCCGGCCTCGGGACCGCTGGCTAAAGCTGCCGCCGGCAGCCGCCTGCTTCGCCGAGTGCTCGTTCTACAGAATGTATCAAGTTGGGGGTGGGGGGAAAGAAAAGGGGCAGGGAAAAATACGTGTGGGCTGTCTGACCTAGTATATTTTCCATTTGCTGTATTGGAACACTCATCTGCTTTGTGCAATTTACTTACTTTGTACAGGTGAATGGGCATTAGGAAACACCTCACAAAACAGCATGCAACATTGTCTAAAATGGGAAAGCAGCTTAAAAACTTAAAATTGCTAGCATGCTCACATTGGAAATGCAATTACCTTTAAGAACATCAGAATTATTGACTTTTAAGAAAATATAAGGAAAGCAGTGTTTCAACTCTCTTGTGCCATGTAGTGGCTCTTAAAAGAGCCTTTAGGGTGTGCAGAAAAGTCGGGATCGCACGGAGAGCACCCGGGGCAGGGGCTCAGGCGCGCTCGCCGCGG